GGCGGCGGCGGCGGCAGCGGCGGCGGCCTCGGGCTTCGCATACCCCGGGACCGCTGAGCGTGCGGGCTCCGCCTCGTCGTCGTCATCTTCGGCTGTGGTCGCAGCGCGTCCGGAGGCTCCCTCCGCCAAAGAGTGTCCGGCGCCCGGCGCGGCCGCTGCGGCGCCTCCGGGCGCCCCAGCTCTGGGCTACGGCTACCACTTCGGCAACGGCTACTATAGCTGCCGCATGTCACACGGCGTGGGCTTACAGCAAAACGCTCTCAAGTCGTCGCCGCACGCCTCGCTGGGAGGCTTCCCGGTGGAGAAGTACATGGACGTGTCGGGCCTGGCAAGCAGCAGCGTACCGGCCAACGAGGTGCCCGCGAGAGCCAAGGAAGTGTCCTTCTACCAGGGCTACACGAGCCCCTACCAGCACGTGCCTGGCTACATCGACATGGTGTCTACCTTCGGTTCCGGGGAGCCTCGGCACGAGGCGTACATCTCCATGGAGGGTTACCAGTCCTGGACGCTGGCCAACGGGTGGAACAGCCAGGTGTACTGCGCCAAGGACCAGCCACAGGGCTCCCACTTTTGGAAATCATCCTTTCCAGGTAGGAGCGTTGGAGTGGGGGGGAACGGGGAGACCAGGAGGGAGGGAGTGGGGGCAGGGAAGAGAGTGTACGGAAAGAAAGCACTAGGAGGGTAGGTCCCTACTTGGGAGCTGCGCCTGTCCTCCTCGCCCAGCCAAGGTTAACCTGATGGAACAGTTCCTGTAGTTTGCCTGAAATTTGTACATTTCTCCTTTGATTTAAACTGTCCCTCTCACAACCCTTTTCTTCTTGTGTGTGGGCATTAAGCCTGTTTTTCTCCCACAGTTGAGGGTCTTTGCGTGTGCCCTTTGCTCAGGCCTTGGCCCCTCCTCCCCGAAGACGTGTCACAGAGTTGGGTCCCACTTTTAAAGGATATGACTGCCCCAGGGTCACCACTAAAGCTTCTAAGAGCTCACAGACTCCAAACACAGGAACACAAGAAATCAAAGCTTGAACAAAAAAACCTGGATTTTTTTTTTAAGTCTGCGTATGTTTGTATGTGTGCAACCAGCATTTGCAGAAACTATCCTTATAACTGTCCCCAATAACCATGCCATAAAATTGAAGGCTTGTTAAGATGCTGGTTTGAGAAACCGTGATGATCCATCAAATGGCCTTCACTTTGAAGTGTAAATAATCTTTCTTTAATAATGTGTAAATAATATGTCTGTATAAGTAATAATAAAATGCAAGCAGCCTGGTTTTCTTTATTCCCCATACCCCTTCCAAACATACACACACAGCCCCCAGTGGTGCTCCAGAATCCCTGGTCTAATTTTTTTCATGCTGTTTTTTATACCAGGGGATGTGGCTCTAAATCAGCCAGACATGTGTGTCTACCGTCGGGGGAGGAAGAAGAGGGTGCCCTACACCAAACTGCAGCTCAAAGAACTGGAGAACGAGTATGCCATTAACAAGTTCATTAACAAGGACAAGCGGCGGCGGATCTCGGCTGCCACGAACCTATCCGAGAGACAAGTGACCATTTGGTTTCAGAACCGAAGAGTGAAAGACAAGAAAATCGTCTCCAAGCTCAAAGACACTGTCTCCTGATGTGGACCAGATTGGCCAAAGAGAGTTTAAATGCTTTCAGTTGTCTCCAAAAGACCTTCGGAAAGACTTGAATATGTATTTAATTTCGCCCCATCTCCCTGCCAGTGATGGCAAATTTTGTGAATTGTTCTTCTCTCTTCCCCTTATCTGGCTCTAAAACCTTTTGCTGCCCAACCTGACTCTGTAGTTCTGTTTCTTACTTGTTTATTATTGATTTTGTTCTTGTCTAGTTTTTTTTATGATGTTTTTAATGTTCTGTTTCTCCCTCCAGGCCAGTATAAAGGACTTGAAGTATTTTTTAATAATTCCCCCCAAAAGAATTTCAGAAGTGCCATTATGATTTTAAGGTTTTATTTTCTTAAATCACTTCATATGCCTGTTTCCAGCACTGATTATCTTCATAATCTACTAGGGTAGAAGGATTTGCAGTCATTCATATCCTGCGATTGGGCAATTTAATCATTAGCTCTCAGCAGTCACCCTGAGGCAAGTGGAAACAGCTCTGGGCAAGCGGTGCTCTAGGGTCACTGGGAAAGTCTAAAAACAGGCGGCTGGAGGTACTGTGATGGCTTTAAAAGCAGCTACCTTATTAAATAGGGTTTGTATCATTATTGGAACGAAGACAGTCTTCCCTACTTTGGGTCTTTCATTTGCTGTTGTAGTTATATGTGTTTAGTATACCTTGTCGATTTGTGCTTTTATAATCTTTAATTTGAAAATAATGTGTCCTCATGGATGCCTTCATTTCCCCAGCTCTAGATGCAAACATTTAAATGGCTGCAATTGTGAGAGTGATCTGTGGATGGTATAAATGCACACCTTCTCCTTGACCTTGGGTCTGTGGGACTAGAAATGAGGTGATCTCCTCAGTCCCCTGGAAGAGACTGAATCAATGTGGCCATGGGTGGGAACTTTTATCCAGAACCCAGTGAAGAACTTGACTGTCTGAACAAATGTATTGAGCCTCTCGTGGAGTTTTAAGACATCTAACAAATACGAAAAATGTGGCGCTCTATAGTTCAAGATTTAAAAAAAAAAAAAAGATGTTTCTGAAAATGATGATAAATAACTACTTTTAAAGTGCTGCATATTTATACAACTGAGAGATTATTTTTGTAGATGCAAATGTCTGTGAGCTGGGATATGTGTGCAGTGCTTCAGGCATTTAAAAATCACTTTTTTATTCCTAGGGAGATGCAAATAAACAGAACTCTCTTGTTTCTTCTGTGTCTTTATATATTTGTTTTCTTATTCCAAGCTTGTGTTACCTCTTGTGTTCTTATTTATTATAAAATCTTGTTGTCTTGAACATTACGATGTTCCCTATAGATGAAGGAAACTCAATCCCAGTTCTACTCTCTGAAACCTCCATTCTATTTCCGCCACCCCTCTCTGCCCTTTTCCCTGTGGCTTTAACATAAGTAGTGATGTCTTTAAATGAGAATATACTTTGTGGTGTCTAAAATGGTATTTTTTACCAGACAAAAAACATCTCCAATAAAAATTTTACTTCTCTTTCAATATTATCACTTTATTCAAATAGTTTTATTTTTTTAAATCAATATGTATGTTTGTGTCTGGGTACAGGAAATTGTGCTCACTTGAAGGTGTTCTTCCTAGAAAGGCTGTTACAAATATCTACTCTCCGAAGGTCTTGAAATTAGACATATCCATATTTGGCCATTGAAAAAGAAACATTTCAAGCTGATCCCTTATCGCCTTCTCTGAGCAGCCTCCAAACAGCATTTGAGGACTGAAACCATAATTGCACACCCTAAACCTCTAGTCGCAATTTTTAGGCACTATGAACTTTCTTTTAGAGACCTTTTTGCCACTCGGGGAAATGGCCGCTGAGGAACTGGGTGCCTCGCCGTTGTTAGTGCCCGGACACAAATCAATTTAGTGGTTGCTAACTTTTTGGTATGAAGTTAAATACACATGTTTAAAATCTCACACAATGTGTAAACTCTCCTGGCGGGAGGGCTCCCTTATGGATCTGCCAGAGAAAGCGCAGAGACCCAAGGTCCAAAGCTACTTTCGTTTTCTCTGGCTCCGCTTGATTTTTTCATATCTTGCACCGATGGTTGACTGTGGGCGGCCAACTTCGTTTTAACTGACAGAGAGGGACAGAGAGAGAAGAGAGAGAGGGAGAGAGAACGGACTATGATTCAAACTGGAGAAGAAATAACCCCTGAAAATGGGGACACATCAACCCCGACCTTCCACTTTCAGGAAGAGTTTCTAACGTTTTCTCTGTTTTCCTCACAAGATGTGCTTTCATGTGAAACGGGCCTGTTTTCCCTTCTTTTCAATCGTCGTTTTCCCTCCTTTTTTGTAAATTCCAGACTCCAGGGCCGCACTCCATTCCCAGGTCCATTTCTGAGGTTTCCTGTCGGATGGGGGGATTGCCACGAGGTTTTCCTTTCATCTGTAGTTGGCCCGTCAGTTTCTCTCCGCCTAAGAGAAATGGGAGGTTTGCTGAAGATTAAAACTGCTCAAATGCTCTCCGGTGGAATTTGAATTGATGGCTAAATCAATAACAGATGAAGACTTTGCTATTTATATGCATTCCTTTTATATTCCGAATTGAGGAGGGAGTAGAGGAGCGGGTAGGTGGCCGAAGCGCTGGATGGGAGGCCCGCGGGGAGCCAGGGCGAAGGGAGCTTCGGAGAGAGGCCTTTCCTTCGGGTGGAAACTGAGAGGCCGCAGGGAGAACGCCTCCGAAACCTGGCAGGTTTCGAGCGCCGCTGGTGGAGACTCAAGGCCCGCGCGTCTACGCTTGAGTCAAGAGGCGAAGGACGCTTTGCAGCCGGGACGCACAGCCAGACAAAGAGGCGGCCTCGACGCTTCCCCGTGTCTGGCAGCCTGCTGGGTGACTCTGACTCCGCTGTCCCGGCCAGCCTTGCTGCCACGATCTCCGGCTTTCCGAGACACTTGGCGGAGCCTGGCAGAGGGCCGTGACCGCATCGGCTGGCGACCCCAGGCCGGCGGTGCCGCCCTTCACTGTTGATCTTGACCGTGCGGCGGCGCGTCGCCAGGCGTGGAGCTTGCTCGCCATCTCCTGGGCGGTCGGCGGCATTGGCAGAGCTCGCGGTTTAGCTCCACGGCCAAATCCTCTCTCCCATTCCCCAGCTCACCAGCCAAGCCTCCTGCCCTTCCCCGCCCCCCCCCCGCCCCCCGCCGCGCAGTCTGCAGCTCCCAGCTCCCAGCGTACAACTTTGCTTGCTGGACCTCGGAAATTATAAATCCAGGAGATAAGGTGGGGCACCATCCTGAGCCAAGGAGATATGGAGGGAGTTTAGTTGTTCTAGTCTTTCTGTTTCTCACTTAGCCCCTTTATATCTTTAGTCCCCAGGGGTAAACCGCAGCTGTGCCGCTGCCTAAGGGTCCGGAGAAGACACCCCTGGACTTGGAAATACCGGAGCATCACTGTATGCTGAGACCGGAGGAGACGAGACTGCAGGGATCTCTGGAGCTGGAGCTTCGGGCCTGGGGAGGCTGTAGCTCCTGGAAAACAGGGAGAGTTTCCCAAAATGAGAGCCTGTATCCCCTAAGTCCTTAGGAACTGAGGTTGCAGCTTATGCCTACACCACCCCAAGCCCCCCGAGGACGGGGAGTGGAGTTCTTGTCTCTAAGTTTGAGCTCCTAAGGAAACTCTGACAGAACCCTGAAGAGTCCCGGACATCCCCATCCCCACCCTCTACCCCCGCCCTAGAGCGGGAGGAAGAGACCGACTGCGTTCCCCAGAGCTGCCCAATTGGTCGCCATAACTCACACAATAAAGTCGCAGCGCGGTGGTCAGCCTTGCCCTCCGGCGGCGCCTGTGTGGTCTCCGTGCCGGAGCTGGCGGTCTAACCAATTCCAGCTTGGCTCGGGGACCGGCGAGGCGGGCTGCAGGTTGGGGCGGGTGCCAGTCACGCGGTCGCTGGGGTTCTTGGGACCAAAGCAGCAGAGGAGGACCCAGAGCCCTCTGGCCAAACTAAATCGGAGGGCCTGCGGGGGGGGGGGGGGGGCTGTCACACTGCTCCCGGCGAGGGACAGCTGCCCCGCCCGCATCCCTGTTCGCCAGAACCCCGAACCCGCCAGCCGCCTAGGAGGCGCTGAGCCGAGGATCGCTGCTAGCCTACTGCCTCGGTGTGCCCAGCTGTTCCCGGCCGAATGACTCTGGCTCTTCTGTCCTTCCACACCAGGTCGGGGGGAGTTCGTCTTGCTCTGACCGCTGCCGAGGAGTTGAACAGCTTGGAGTTCTGGTTGGCAGGACATAGTCGCCAAGGTGACTCCAGGCGATAAAAGGAATGTAGCCTTTGGCCACGATTGGCCAATGCAGCTGCCCCTTCCCGGGCCAGCATTCTCCATGGACCTGGATGGCCGCAACTTTCCTGGGAGCAGAGGGCTTGGCCATGGAGAAGCACACCAGAACTGGTGTGAAACCAGCTTCCTGGGAGCCAGACTCGGGCAGAGTTTGTGATGCATTTCTCCTCCTTCAGCAAATTTCTCGGACTGTGCCGGGTTCAGGCAGTGTGTGGGTCTTCGCTGCTAGACCACTAGCGCAGAATCCTCTCCAGAGGAACAGGGCAGGGAGGAATCAGGGTAGGAGAAGCATTGCTCAGGCCTAGGGATAGAGCTGGTGGCCCCACCACACGGTGGGCTCTTCGTGCAAACCTAGAGGTGCACAGTACTGGAAAAGGCCTTAGCTGCAACTTAAAGCTGGTGGAAGCAAACCTGGCCCAGGTAGCCAGTGGAAAAAGGGAGTGCAAAGCTCATCAAGACCAAGAAGGATCCCAAGGGACACTCGGGCAAAGGCACCCAATGTCCCCAGCTTCTGAAGCTGATCCCGGAAACTCCCAGTGGTTTCACCTTCGCTCAACGTTCCTTGGTTCTGCCTGGCAGCCTCGTCCTTCGCCATCGAATATTGCGGGTGTTATCATAATACCCTGAAGGGGGGGAAACGGGTCGGGGGATGTAGGCGGTGCTGAAATGACCGGCTTTGAAGAACCTGCAGGCAAAGTTTCGTCCAATCGTCTGAGCCTGTCCTCTTATTCCCGGTTGTAACTAAATACTGCTGCGAGCGCAGCCGAAGCCCTTTGTTGGAGATGTGTGAGCGCAGTCTCTACAGAGCGGGCTATGTGGGCTCGCTTCTGAATCTGCAGTCGCCTGACTCCTTCTACTTCTCCAACCTGCGGCCGAATGGCGGCCAGTTGGCCGCGCTCCCCCCCATCTCATACCCGCGAGGCGCGCTGCCCTGGGCCACCACGCCTGCCTCCTGCGCCCCAGCGCAGCCTGCCAGTGCCACGGCTTTCGGCAGCTTCTCACAGCCCTACCTGGCTGGTTCCGGGCCGCTTGGCCTACAGCCCCTGGGCGCCAAGGACGGACCCGAAGAGCAGGCCAAGTTTTATGCGCCCGATGTGGCTGCCGGGCCGGAGGACCGTGGCCGTGCGCGGCCGCCCTTCGTCCCCGAGTCTAGCCTGGCCCCCGCGGCCGCGGCTCTCAAAGCGGCCAAGTATGACTACGCGGGTGTGGGCCGCGCGGCAGCGGGCTCTGCAGCCCTGCTCGAGGGGACCCCCTGCGCTGCCGGCTTCAAGGAAGACGCCAAGGGCCCGCTCAACTTGAACATGACAGTGCAGGCTGCGAGCGTCGCCTCTTGCCTGCGACCTTCGCTGCCCGATGGTAAACGGTGGCCATGCTCCCTGGGCCAGTTTGGGCTGGGTTGGGAGGTGGGGTGCAGGGGAGAGTGTGGAGGGGGAGGGAGCTGCTAGGGGCGGGCAGGCTACAAGGAGCGGCCGGCCGGGCTGACTTGGGTTGGGGCTGTGTTGCAGGCCTGCCGTGGGGGGCGGCCCCAGGGAGGACCCGCAAGAAGCGGAAACCCTACACCAAGCAGCAGATTGCGGAGCTGGAGAACGAATTCCTCCTCAACGAATTCATCAACCGCCAGAAGCGCAAGGAATTGTCCAACAGGCTGAACCTCAGCGACCAGCAGGTCAAAATCTGGTTCCAGAACCGGCGTATGAAAAAGAAGCGCGTGGTCCTGCGCGAGCAGGCGCTGGCTATGTACTAGCCCCCCGCGTGGTCGCGGCCGGCCAGGGCTGCCTTTGAAAGCCGAGGCCTGGCGGGAAGGAAGAGCTGGGAGTAGGGGCTTTTCCTTCGCGCCTTCTTCGCTGGTCCCACGTACCCTTCCGCTCAGCCTGCAGCCCCAGAAGCCAGCAGAGGATTTGGAGCCGCGGCCAGTTGGGCCTCTAGGCTTCCACCTCTCTGGGTGGCGCCTGCAGAAATTGAAATATAACCTTGGCCTTGAGGCTTCCTGCGTGGGGGCCTGGGGTCACCTGTCCTAGCTCTTGACTGGGGTATTTACACGGGTGCTCACTCTAGCACCCTTGTACTTGGATTTCTGCTTCCACCTAGACTCCCTTTCCTCTTCTCCCCAGTCCTTTTTGAATTTAGTAGGCACCTCACTAGAGCTCAGAGTGGAATTAAATTTAGGACGTCCTTCGGGAAGGAGTAGAAAAGGGCTGCAGGCACAATTCTGTCTCTTTGCAGCCAAAGCCCCTTGTGGCAAAGCCAGAAACTTGGCTCTGGAGAAAGAAAGGGCACCCCCTCCCCATCTGCCCTGGCTGGTTCGGGAGGACAAAAGCCACCCTAGACATTCAGACTTTGGGAGGAAAGGGGAGAGGGGAGGGACTGTGTGGCTGGACAAATTCGAAGACACCTCGGAGTTTGGGCTGGGCTGGCCCCTCCAGCTGGACAGAATGGGGTGGATACTTCCTTCCTGTGGATTCGAGGGAGGCTGAAGCTCCACAGCAAACTGCAATCTCTAGATAGGACTGGTAAAATTTCTCCTACTTCTCCTATCTCCTCACATATGTCTAGGCCAGAGCCCTGCACTCTGTAATTGGACTCAGCTCTGGTGAGGACAGCTGCTAATCTACTCTGAGGCTGGGTTGCACTAAGAGGTGGGGAAAATATCCAGGGGGAGGAGAAGGGAGTGAGCAAGGAGAGGGGTGTCCTACATTCCAACTGTAAATATGGTTTCCCTCTTGAGGTGGGTAAAGGTGTGGACATGTCTTTCTTGAATTAGGGGAATGGGCCACCGTAGGGAGAGGCGAAAGCTCCTCCATCAGTCAAGGGGTGAAGAAGGAGGTCCCTCAAATCCTTAGCCCCTGGTCGCTGCTGTTGACCAAGTAGAGAAGTTCCCCCTCTCTCACCCTCTTCACCACTGGACAACTCCACCTGGGGCCTTTCTGTGCCTCAGCCACCGTGCCTTTTCTGAGCCCATGTCTGGCCTGCCTCAGTGGTGCCTGTATGGCCCTGGGCCCTGCTGGGCTTGCTTTGTGGAGGCTGGGGTTCCTGATGCTAGATGGAGTTGTTTTGCATGTGCTGGGGTGTCCTGCCTTACCCTCAGAGAAACTGAGCCCCCCCCCAGCTCCTTCTACCATCCCTACCTCTTTTCCCTCTCCTGAGAAGTAGCGCCCCCCAATTCCTACTGAGGTGTATGACAGCCAAAGAGTTGAAGATTCGTTCCCCAAGTCCAATGATTTATTTTCAGTGGAGGACTAGGCCCTAGATCTGGAGTGAACACCTCACAGAGAGTCCCAAGCCTCAGTCCAACTGACCGCAGTTTATGTTTAGACTAATTGCATTTTCTTTGCTATCTAATAGTTGTTGTGCATGTTTTATGTTGTTTTGATTTTGTAAAAAAAAAAAAAAAAAACCACAATAGTTTGTATATATCAGATACATCAAAATGTTTTGAGTGGAAATAAATATCTAGGTCCCAGCCAAGCTGTCAAGGGACTGATGTCAATTTTTCAAAAACGTTTCGGATTCCCTCCTAATGATTTTAGGCCACCAAATTCGTTTTTCTTTCCTGGTTGTGGTTTCACTGCAGGTGTTGACTGTTCATTAAATGAGAAAATGGCTTCCAAGTCAGTCAGAAAATGGTGTATAAAAGCCTATGAACAAAATGTGTATGAAACATCCAAGTGGGAGGAGGGGGGACTGTGGGCAGATTGGAGGGCATTAAGTGAACTCTCAGCTTGTTGCAGGCCAGGGCTTCTGTATTTTGCTTAAATTCTCAAACTTTAAGGCTTGCTGTTGGGGGCGGGTGGTGCTGTTAAGATATGAGATTCCTCAGATTATTTCAACACAAAACATCTCTCCCGGCCATGTTTCGATCAGGCTACTTTGGAACAGGCTATGCCCTGTGGAAATCCTCCATACTGGCACCTCTGCCTGGAGCCCAGCAGGTTCCCTTGGGAAATGTGGCCTCTGCACCCCGTAGGCCTTAGGAGCCTCTAGCTGAGGCTGGGAAAGTTAAAGCCTGCTCACTATGCACCATCCTCTTGCAGACCTCAACTCCCATCTAGCTTTGAAATGGAAACTAGAGAATTGCTAGCTTTTAGCTAGTGGAAGAATTAGCAAAACCATGAAATCTCTAATACCAAGTAGTCAAGGGCTCAACTCCCCTTTCCTGAAGCAAATTTGCTGGGTATTTTAAAATATTTTTAAAACAGCTCCTTTAAGAAAAAATACAACGGCGGGGGAAAAAAGAAGGAAGAGGCTGCGAGGCCCTCTTTAGAAATGTTTTCCCACATGATGGGGCTCAGGGAGGTAGTGGTACCCAGAGCTGAGTCTCTCCCCCAAAACAGCCGGACAAAGGCGGAGGCCACACGCAGACCTCAGGTCCAGAGAGCTGGGTAAAGGACTAGGAAACCGGAATTAGACGTAGGCCCTAGGATAACACAGAGAGACACTTTCTTTCCAGTGTATACCATTCAATCATCATGTTCTTTCTCTTTAGCCTGGGAGGTGGGGTTGGAGGAGAAATTCATGGAGACCACTCCCCAAAGAGATTGAAATTATTCTAAGTGTAAAATCTCGATTGTCCGTTGGGGCTTCAGCAGTGTTTTTCAAATTTATCCCCTTTACTGATCCGCACAAATACAAAGGCGGGGTGGTGTCGTCTCTCCTTTCCTAGCCAAGGTCCTGGAGGGGATTTGGAACCACGACGAAATTCCTAAGAAACAAATGCGAAGAGAAATGATGCTGAAATCTGAGTGCTCAACATTCCCTCGCACAAAGACAAATGCGTCCTCCAAAATGCTGCAGTCCGGGCAGGCCTTTTGACCAAGAAAAAGGGTTTTAAACGAGGAAAAACGGCTTCGGCTGACATTCAACGGGCTGCAAGCTCAGAGGGCCGACCGCGGGGCTCTTAAGGCCTGGGGGCTCTCCCCGAAGGAGGCGGGCTAGTGAGGCTTCCGGGAGGCCGGCTGGTGGAGGAGAAATCCAGAACCGTTGTAAATATTCATGTCTGCGGGGGGGGGGGGGCCTCTTCACCCCGCCTCTTCCAGCTGTAATCACCCCCCCCCTTCGTGAGGGGGTTGCACAGCGCCTGTCCGACCGTCCTTGGACAAAGGTGATCTCCCCACATTTTTGTTCTCCAGTCACTTGACTTAGGGAGCCCATTCCGAAGGCTCTGCAGGGAAGGGACTGGCTATGGGTGTTTTCCCCCGCGTTTCTCCTCTTCTTTCGTTTCCTAGAAGAGCATAAATAATTAAAGTTTGGCAGGGAGGAAAAGCTTTCTTGCAGAACTGTAGTGGCAATAAATGAAATGACTCAGAATCCCTTCCCCAGCCAGCTTTTACGAGGGCTGCCAGACAGTGTCTGTTCACGTTCTCCAGATACCAGGGGCGCCCTGACAAAGTTAAGGTCAAGTTAGTGTCTTATCTTGGGTGGCTCAAAATTACCGCATCGCGTCTGGGCGCTGCGCGGAAAGCTACCACTCGCGGAGCAGTTGGACGCCGGAAGGGTGGGATGCGCTCCTTGTGCTTCGAGTGGGGCCGCGCAGGCAAGGACAAGGCCACAACGCCGGAGTCTTCATGGTAGGTTCTCGCGGGACGCGCGGGGTCGGGAGGCTACGGTTTTCCTTGGGTTTTGAGGTGAGGATCGAGGAGGGAGCTGGGGCAAAAGGCCGAAGCGGGCTGGGCCCAAAATGAAAGCCCAAGGATGGGTGTGGGGGCGGGGATCCGCGCTAATGCGCAGCCAGGGGGTCCGCTGCCCGTTCCTCTATGCACCCGCGCGCCGCTGCAGATGGCGCACCCTCCCCCGCCAAAGCGCGCTCCAGCCCGAGCCGCCATCGCCATGTCGTTGAACTTGAATGGTTCCGTCCTCCCCATTTCCCTCTTCAGCGGTCAGCAGGCTCCGCTGTGGGGGCAGCGAGCTGTCTGTGCCCCACCCCGTGTAAAGGGAAGGTGCGAGAATTTTGCGCACTCCCAGACACGTAAAGACCCGGCTGGAGGAGGGGGGGCGGGGTCCCTGCAGCCGCTGCCCTGGGTCCTGAGCTGCCGCAGGCCAGTGTGCAGTGTCCGGGGAGCCATTTTAGGAGAGAGATCCACGGGCGTCGACCACGAGCCCGAAAGGGAGAGGCTTGGGCGGGCGATGGAGATGGGAGGCAGATAAGTGTGCTGGCGGTCTGGACCGAGGAGAAAGGGGCGAGCAGGAATCGGGGCGAGGGTGCCAGCTGGGAGGGGGGTGCACAGAACGATGAGCAGTTCTGGGGCGGGGGGAGCCTGCTTGCCCTCCAGTCGCCACAGACCTGTTTGCGCAGTGTTCGGAGGAAAGCAGAGATGGGAGGGGGGCGGAGGAAGAAGAGTGGGAGGGAGAAAAGGAGGGAGGAGAAAAGGGGGGGGGGACAACGGCCAGAAAATAGATACGAACTCTGATCGCCCGCCTTTTCTCTGTCTGTCGGCATGGTGGGCAGAGCCTGCCACACGGGCACTGCGGCGGCCGGGCAGGGAGGGAACCAGCTTCACAGCCTGCCCCGCCTGCCCTGGGCGTAGGGCTGAGGTCCAGAACCCAGTGCTGGGATTTCCTGGGCTGAGGAATCTTGGGGAGAGAGGCAACTTCCTGCCCTCGGCTCTGGGATTTGGGTTTGAGGAGCTTCTTTCTGAGAGACCGATTTTACCTTTGGAAAGTGCTGGTTCTCCTGGAGGCGGGAGTCCAGGCCTCGCCTGGACCCCCGGGCTAGGAAAGAGGGACCTGGCGGCCGTGGAGGAAAGTGAGGCCTTGGGGCAAATGGATGGGGGGCTCTCAGGGCCAAGTGCTGCAGAGAGGCTCAAACAAGGAGGAAAAAGCTGCTGAGAGCATTCCGCCCCCCTCCCCAGAGCCAACGGACCTCCCCGGGGCTCCCCCCACCACCACCCCGCAGAGACCATGCCGGCCCAAGGGCACTGCAGGAGCCTAGGGGAGACCCGGAGGCGGCGTGGATGCGTAGGCCTTGGCGGGTCTCCGACGCAGCGAAGGGGCTGGTTGTGAGGCGGGCTGGTCGTAGTCCAGGCCAAAAAGCAGAGAGGGTGAGGAGGGTGGAGGCGCCAGTGGTTTGTCTCCGATTGGTGGGGAGCGGGAGGCCAGGCACCTTTAGAGTAGGACTCCAGATCCTTTTGTTCACCAGACCCCCCAGCTTCTAGAGGGCCATGGGGCATCTCCGCTGGCTGAACTTCCTCCTTGCTTTAGCATTGGGAGAGGAAAGGCAGAGAGGCGACAGAGAGAGCACAGAGGTGGTGACACACAGCTAGAGGAAAGGAAGAGAGAAGATCAGGGGGCAGAGAAAGAGGAGAGGAAACGAGGAAAGTAAGAAGAAGGAAGAAGGCAAGAGGGAACAAGAGAAGGGAGTGGGAGAAGAGAGGACAGGAGAGAAAGAAGCGAGAAGACTGAAGGGAGACGAAGGAAGGAGAAAGGGAGACAGGAACAGAGAGAGAAGAGAGGGCGAGAGATCCGAGTGGGCACCGAGGCCCGGGCCTGGGTGAGCTCCTGGTAGGGTTTTGGTGTGGGTTTTTTCGAGGCTGGCACTCGCGCTCCCGGGGTCAGGAGTGGGGGGAGCCACGTTATTCTGCGATGAACGCGCTGGGCTGAGAAATATGTAAATCAGGGCTCCGTGTGCCCCGAGAGTGGCGCAATTACGCCCCTTGAGAAAGAAGCAACAAGCTCCTGACCGGCAAGCTGCAGAGGGGTGGCGGCGTCGCGGGGGAGGGAGCGGCTGCAGGAAGGGGTGTGGGGGGTGGGAACCTCACAACCTCACACCTAGTCCCCTGTGCCCGGGGCTGGGGCTCCCCCCTCCGCTCTCCGCTTCTTTCCCTTCCCCCTTCCTCCCCCTTCCTCCCCCTCCCTCCTCCTCCCCGCCGGCTTCGGTCCGCGTACTTAAAGCGGCGCGGGCGGGCGGGCGGGCGCGGGCGGGCGGCCCAGCCGGGCGGCGGCAGATGCACCCAGCAGTGGCGGCCGCCGGCGGCGCACAGGTGACCAGCCTGCGGCTCAGCCTGGTCAGGGAGCGCCCGGGGAGTGCTGGCTGGAGCGGGAGACTGATCCGCCCCAGCGCGCGCGTGCCTCGGCGCCAGGAGCCGTCCCGGGGCGTGTTGGCGAGAGCTGATATAGATATAAGGACATTTCTCTCCATGGCGTCACGTGACATAATTACCACCAGAATCAATCAAGATGAATTGCACGTCAGCGCCCGGTGGGGATTTTTGCTTAGTTGATCCTGGCCCAAGCCTCTTGTGCAATCGATGGCTCAGGTTGGCGGCGCGGGGAGCGGCCCGGGGCTTGCCGGCGCGCACGCCGCGGAGCCATGAACGACTTTGATGAGTGCGGCCCGAGCGCAGCCAGCATGTACCTGCCCGGCTGCGCCTACTATGTGGCCCCGTCGGACTTCGCCAGCAAGCCCTCCTTCCTATCGCAACCGTCGTCCTGCCAGATGACTTTCCCCTACTCTTCCAACCTGGCGCCGCACGTCCAGCCCGTGCGCGAAGTGGCCTTCCGCGACTACGGCCTGGAGCGCGCCAAGT